GCATTTCCTCAAGTTGTTCGTAAATTATACGTTTTTTGTCTGGTGACGTAGGATAAGGTTTTTCATTAATAATGGTCGGAGATTTGAGCGTGATTTTGTGCGTGATCGTCGCGGTTTTGTATTGTACAGGTTGGTCCTGAAATAAGTCTGAAAATTCTCGCAAGATTGGTAAAACGTCATCTACATATTGTTCTGGTATTTGGTCAACTGTAAGATTGACTTCGTCGCAAGTGTGAGGTGATAGTTTTTGATTTAGAGCCCAATATTTTGTTACCCGATAGTCTCTACCGATGTAGATACAATTTCTAGCGTGGTCAATGACACATCCTTCCGAGTTTAGGAAATCTCTGCCTAGAATAACATCTTCGTGCAAGTCCGTTATGACATGAAATTTATGAGTACGCGTGTACATGCCTATCTGAACGTCGATGTAGACTATACCCGTTGAATAAATAATTTCGCTACCGCTGAATACAGAGAACGTTTGTGAGTCTGGCTGAACGTTAAAATTTTTTGTTAATATTTTGTTTATGAGATTCTTGGCTGCCCCGGTATCTATGAGTGCTTTAATTAGGGATTGATCGATTCCTATTTCTATACGCGGTGTTGTCTGATCCACTAAGTCAAAATTTTGAATGGGTATTGCAGCAGAAGGCTTCGCGATTTTCTGGCTGAGTTCTGGTTCATTGAATAATACTGCTAAATTTAAATCTGGTGTCATCATCGTGAATATTGTTGGGTTTTAAGTCGGTTCGCGGTTTACGCGTTACTGGGTCGGCGGCTCTGCGTTCCGGCTGTTTAGTCCGTTTTTTGGAACTGTTCCGCTGACTTGTCTTGGTTCTGCTCGTCGCGATTTTGGTTCGTGTTTTCGGCGTTTCGGTATGGATTTCTGGCGCACTGTGAGTGAAAGTGCCACTCAGAGTAATATCTGCACGGTGTACGTGGGAATTGAACTTCGCGTTGATTGGTTTCTTGATTTCTAGTATACCCGGTATTTGTTTGATGTGTTTGTACTGAATTTCGGTTTGGATTATTATTATGGTTTTGCGGCATCTCGTTGCATATGTTTACTGACGGATTCGGTGTGTTATTCGGGATTCTAGTTTCATTACGTGCGATACGCGGGTTGTACGTGTGTCGATTCATGAAGTTTGAAATTTCATTGAATTCGGCGCTGATATCTGTTTCGAGTTGTTCGGCGATTTCTGAAAATTCCTCGAGACTATTAAACGTGTAATTTCGGATACGCGATCTGAGCGAAGGTCGCATCAAATCTATAGCAATATTTATTATTTGTACATCGGATGCGTGTGGATTGATTCGTAAAAATTGACTTCGTTTTTTGGCGATAAAGGCGCTAACCGATTCGTCTGTTCGTTGTCGGTCTCCATACAGAGAAACTGTAATTGCGGATATTTTTGTTTGCGAGTTAGTCTTATAAACCTAACCTCAAAATTTGCGTATGTATTACGGCTATCATTATGTAATTCAAACCATTTTTTGGCCTCACCTCGTAAAACATTTTCTACATAGTGTAATTTTTCCGAGTCATCTGTGATGCGATAATTTTGAAAATAAAGATTTGTATGATCTATGAAGAATTCCGGGTCTTCATGGTCTAATCCTGCGTAAGTGTGTGTGAAGGTTGTGTTTTGATCGTACCAGCTTGTACAAATTTATCTGTGATTGCCGCGAGAACGTATGTGAATTGATTTGTGATCTGGGATATGATTTGTTCATTAATTGTCGGTTCAGGTGCCGTAATTGTGGTTGGTAAAGTGTTTGCTGAAATATTTGGGGCATTGTCGTTTTCGGGTGTACTAGGAAAATTTCTTAAAATAGTATTTGTAGGTCTGAAATCATGGTATTCATTGCTCGATATGGGGCTGAGAATGGGTGCTTCTAGAGAAATGTTTGTGGTTTTTGTCTGGTCCATCGTGAAGGAAATGTTTATAGAGAACTTGAAGAAAAAAATTTTTTTTATGGTCGTAGATTCGACTCGTGCTGCACTTAGAGCAAGTTTCTTGATAATTTTGTGTCTATTTTCGCGTTTTTACGTTATATTTTACTTCGTTTGTTTCGAGGCCGGTACGTTGGGCGACATGTTACGGGGGGTCGGTTACGCGGTTGTAAAAAAAATATATATAATTCTTTTTTACTTCGGAACGGGTGTTGTGAGAGCATGAGAGTGTTCCTAACCGTCCTTTCGCCCGTTTGTCCGGCTAGCTTTGAATTTCGGATACGTATGTGTGTGTGTGAGATGGTATTATAGTGTAGGCGACGCGCGTTTGAGTGTATGAATGTCTGATTGATTCGTAAATTTATTGCCTGGGCGCCATCTGTCTATCCGACAGAACCTGTAAGAATAGAATGTGTGTGTGTCTGGTTTGCCTAATGTAAGGGTTGTGTGCGTATGTACGTGGAGGTCGGCGTCAGAGGTTAGCTCGGCGAAATTCCGGTCCACTGGGCGACTACACTAACACTTGAAAGAATGTGCATGCAAAGAAATAATGATTTGGGGAACGCCTGGATACGTTTGTTTAGTTAGAGTTAACGCAATTGAGACTTGAATGTTAATGCTAAGGTTTACGTAGTTGAGACTTGAATGTGAATGCTTATTTTATTATTAGAGCGCATCTAGTTGACTGAATTATTTTGATTAATGCAAAAGAAAAAAAAACAAATGATTATTGACGTATGACGTGACTAGTACTGATTTTACTGGCTTGAAATGGTTTAATTTTTTGACGTAATTGGATTGCACAATTTGCTAGTTAGTTCCAGGAGCCCCGAGACTAGAAAAACCATGCGGCACTTACCTTTTGATGGCTTAGTAGATCTGGGTAATCCTGAAGAATGCTGGGTAGGTTATCCAAGAACACTGCTCTGATTTTTGCACTGCACTGGGATGTGGTGGTAGGGAAGGTCGTAGAAATAATAACACCTGGTTTTTGGTTTTAATACAAAGGTACGAATGAACGTCGATCTGGTATCGGCACGAAATAAACCACTTGTACTTTACTGAGCTTCGAGCGTGGGTTAAGAATTTCTGTTTTTATTTGTTGCACCTGCACTTTCAACGTTTTTGTGTTTACGAAACTGAGATTGCGGGTTACGAGTTTGTTTAAATGCTGAGCGTTACGGCGTTAAATTTGAGTTTAAGTTTACTGGTTCAACTTGGAGAATTCTTTATTAATAGTTACGGAAAGTAACGCTTGAGATTTCCACTGGTAATTTGTTAGTTGTGTTGATATAATTTGGGTGAGATTACCAACGTGGAGTAGTTGAATTTATAAGTTGAATAAAAGTGATGCGCGCGTTTGCCGCGGTAAGATTAGAGCTCGAGAAGACTGACTGACTGACTGACTGAGTGCGCTCGATATTTATGCGTTCGGCCGAGGTAGAGCTAGGCTCCTCCCCCTTTGGCTTGTTCGGCGTTCTGGCCGCTGATTGGCCCGTGGTCGCCATATAAATATGTAGCTCGCGGATTCTGGTTTATTTGTCTATAGGCATGCAAGAAGCGATGTACTTGTAACAACGGGATCAAACTCGGAGAATGAGGAACTTGTAATCAGAAATGTCATGGAATAAGGCTCTGGTACTCAACGGTTAGCCACAAAATTTCGAGTATGTCATATGCTGTAAAAATCAGGCAAGCAAATAGATTATTTACTTATTTTTGTGTATTCCATTTATCACTATTTATTTATTATCTTTGAGTTTTATGTTAGATTATTTGTTAGGTACTGTACTCTGTTATCTTATTTAAAAGAATAAATTTTTGTATGTGGGATGATAGAGCTCGTGACAAACAATAAAAGTAACACGCCAAAGAGCAGTACTTCACAGCAGCGGATGGTGTAACAATTTGCGTTTTAATAAAATTTGACTTTTAGTAGCCTCTTCTTTATTAAATTATGAGATTTCACAACAATATATACCGCAGTTCCTAAGTGTGTATGTGCTGCGACTAACACGCTCCTTATTTGAGGTTACACTAGCTTATCCAGTGGCGGGGTATGAGAATTAGCAAAGACATGTTTTAAAAATTCTGTTTTCACGACTATGTGTTTGTAAAGGTCAAATGTTGCCCCCGTATAAAAAAGTTACACCCTGTATATTAAATGATATAAAAGTATTAAAACAATGGTTTTTATTTATAACACAGGTCCACTTCTACTCAAAACGTATCAGGTGTCTGTTCAGTTTCCTGCACGAGAATTTGAGCAAGGTATTGCAGGCCTCTTTTAGAAAGGACAGCAGTACAGGACTGTGGAAAATAGACTCTACGCCAGTAGATATGACTTTTTTCCTCGAAAAACAAGAAGACCTGTGCGACTGTATAGACATGGTTAGCGAAGCATTCGGATTTCAAATATTCTTAATAACTGCTTGCCTCGTTGTCTTTATTTTACAGACACTGAATCTAGAACTGAAAGTGGTGTTTGGAGTACAAGCATATCCCCATGTTTTTGTGTTGTCCGCCTTTTCCATGGTATACATAGTACAGTTTCTCGTAAGTAACAATTCAAAAAATATGAAAAGGACGTAAAACTTTCTGATTGCACGATGTTTTCAATTGACCACCCTGTTGTTCTACTAATATAATAAAAGTATTATTCGTTCCGTTCCATTTGCTGATTATTTTTATTGATTCTGTTTGTATAATAAACATAATATTTTTAAAAATTAATCAAGCAGTTTAACGTACATGACTTTGTTAACTGAGTACATCCAGAGCAGACAAAGAAAGAAATTCATCAATGCTGGAAACATCGTTATATGTCACTCCTCAAAAGTGGAGAAATGTCATGGTGGTCAGGTTTATTAAAAAACTGTCAATGTTGTTAGGATTATCTATTACAGAATATAAGAAACCTAGTTTAACACTGGTTAATTCTGTATACAGCATCCTTCTCTGCCTGACGTTAATCATTTCGCTATTTTTTTCAATAAAATCAGTACATGGCCATAGGACTGATGTACATGAGATACTAATTATGGCTACACAAATTTTATTGGATGTGACGAGCAGTTATTCTATACTTTCAGCAGTTGTGGTGCATAAGAAGGAACTTACGATTTTGAATATCCAGATAGGAGTTATTGAAGATAGTCTGAACCAAGCTTTATCGAAAAATATACCATACAGATCTAAACTCCTTTCTTGTCAAGTTGCGGCTATAATAGGTTTCGCGCTGTGGTGCATTATCTTCGATGCAAGTTGGATAACAGTGCGCATTATTATTTCAGGTCCCTTGATTCTATGGTACATCAATGTCATCATTATTTCAATATTAATAATACAAATATACCTATACTCCACCTGCATTGGTTATTTATTCAGACGCTTGAATCATATGATGCAGTGGCAGATGTCTAAAAAGACATACGTCCTAAAAGGTGGCCTAATGTTTTTTCTCAAGGCGCACGAGGAGATCAGTGAATTGATATTTTTAGTTAATGAAATTTTTGGCTTCAAAATTTTCCTCTTAATCTCCAATATTATCCTCAACATCATCGTTTGTGCAGACAGACTTATCAATTTTTCTGTAAAACAAATTAAAATAGACAAAGACGTACTGATCATAATCTCATCGTCCTTATTTATGATTTTATTTGTTGTAAGTATAATTTTCCAATATGTATATGTACATTTTTTAAAAGAAATGGATTTGTTAGAATTTTTATACTCTGTGCTGTTTTCTGGTTTTCACATATTTGTTTTATATTTTGATACAGAAACTATTAACTTGCAACCAAACATAACGATACACCGCAGTATTGTTAGTTGCATATGTATATATACAAAATTTCTAAATTTGAATATTTTTAGGCTTTTGGGGCCATACTATCGATATCATGTGACAAAACAGCCAGTGAAGCGAGGAGGACATCTTTAATCAGCTACAAAATCCTGATGAATTATCCTTCCTGTCCGAGAACCACTCGAGAGAAAATCATAAAGGAGGAACTGATACTGCTGGCAGAGCATATCAGTAGAAGAAAAGTGCATTTTTCTGCTGGTATATTCACTGTGGATTATTCAATGCTGTTTATGATCTTTGGCTCAATAGCTACTTACCTCGTGATCATATTACAGTTCAAGTAACGTCTATTTCACATTGAGCAACTCACTGCTAGTTTTTTAGTAACAAAACAAGATTTTTGATCACATTTTCATACTTTTTTCTGTGCTTCATTTGTTGCAGGGTACATTGTTGAAGTAAATGTAATTGTTTCATACAGGGTGTCTCACAGTGACGGCCCATTAGAATTATTTCAGAGACTACTTCGATTTGAATTTTGAAAATTTTGGATATCGGGTTTTCCGACATGCCCTTCTCAATTAAAGTAATGGCGTCCACGTGCCACTTCCGGTTATACCGGAAGTCGTCATCAACTTGCTTATTTTAAATGGAACACCCTATATATTATTGCAATTTTGGATTTTACGTGTTATTTTAAGTGGACTTTTATGCAGTTTCCCTATTCCTAAAATTAACCGTTTTGCGAGATATTTAATTTTTTCACAAAAATGGAGAGAAACAGTGAGTGAGAGCTTTAAACCATGTGTATTTTATAGTAAGAAAGATAAAGCAACAATATTTATAGAGGGATAACTAGATTCCTAAGCTTCCCATCCATACTTTCAAAGTGACTTAATTGCATACAGGATACTAGAAATTTAATGCCGAGTTTAGTTAACTTCAAACCTTCATAAATCGGTTTTTTTAAATGGAACACCCTGTATGTTTTTCTATATTCTGATACACAATTTTATTCTCTTTCGAACGGTATCAAGGATCCCTACACCTATCTCTTCTAGTTTTTAAGTTATCTACTATTTTTTGTGTAATCACCTAAAATCATGTAATTTCTTGCGAGGATAGCTGTGGAATTTTTAGCAATACTTCAAAACAAACAACTAAAATGTCAATTTGTTGTTAGTCTCTTGCAGTAACAGTTTAATTTAGTATTTATAAGAAATTGAAAACAATACATATTCAAATGCTGATATTATAAATTTATTATTCGTTCACGGACGTTGCAATGAGATTATAAACAGAACATGTACAGTTTTTAATGAGACATATCCAAATTTGCCACAATGAGCAGAAAAAAGTTAAGAATTTTAGCAAATCAACTAAAGTATGGTCGAATTTGTGCAGAAAAATTTTTACCAAAACCAATAACTTCAAATCAAGATAATGTAATAAATCTGATAGCGATACCAAGGAGATCCACAATTTTTACAACATATTAAATGGACAGACGAGTCAAAATTTACGAGAGAAGGCATTTTTAATAGACATAATACTCATTTGTGGTCATCTGAAAATCCTCATGTTATCCGGGAAAGAAACTTTCAAAATAAATTTAGTGTAAATGTTTTTTGTCAAAGAAAATTTAAAAGCCGACAGATATCTCAATATTTTGCAAATGGTTGTGACAGATTTTCTAGATGATATATCTTTAGACCAACTACAGAAGTGCTGATATCAATTAGACTGGGCTCCACCTCACTGTCACAATCAAATCGATCAACAGCTGACTGAAATGTTTGAAGATAGATGGATAAGACGACTAGGACCAGTGAGGCCTCCCGACCTCACCCCATTAGATTTTTATGTTTGGGGAGTAATAAAGCAAAGTTTATTCTACACCCGTTGCTTCAAAAGAGGATTTGATTGCTCGAATACGAAGAGCGTTCCATGAATTGCCCGCAGCTGAAATGGCAAAAGCGGTGACTGATGGTGTTATCTCTAGAATCCACAAATGCTTAGCTGTTAATGGAGGTCATATTGAACACTTATGAGTGTTTTAAGTCATTTTTTTATCTTACTGCGTTATTACTATCAACATACATAATTAAAATTGTGTATTACTATGTATGAAGTTGATTTTTTAGAATTCTTCTTAACTTCATTCTGCTCATTGGTGGAAAATTGTGTATCAGAATATAGAAAAACAATTCCATTTGTTGCCAATGCCAACTAAACTAGGCATTAAATTTCTAGCACCCTGTAAGCCACTTTGAAAGTATGAATGGGAAACTGAGGGGTCTAGCTATCCCCCCTATAAATATTGTTGCTTTATCTCTCTTAGTATAAAATACACATGATTTGAAGCTAATCACTGTTTCTCTCCATATTTTTGAAAAAAATTAAATATCTCGAAAACGGTAAATTTTAGGAATAAGGAAACTTCATAAAAGTCCACCTAAAATAACACGTAGAATCCAAAATTGCAATAATATATAGGGTGTTCCATTTAAAATAAGCAAGTTGATGGCGACTTCCTGTATAACCGGACGTGTGTGCCATTATTTTAGTTGAGAAGGGCATGTCGGAAAATCCAGTATCCCAAATTTTCAAAATTCAAATCGTAATAGTCTCTGAAATAATTCTAATGGGCCGTCACCGTGAGACACCCTGTATAGTAGAGGGCGTTGCACATATGAACCGACACAGAGCAGTTGCATGTACAATATCTCGTGTATACTTGAACTTTTCGATGATTTTAAATAACAGCTACAAAACGTATTATTAGTTATTCGTGTCTTTGTTGAAAACAACAAAGTTTTTTGAAAACTAACAAGAGTAAGAAAAGTTTTAGAATTAAATTCACCATAAAATAAAGTAATAAGTTTTTAAGTCCGCCAATGGGTTAAAAAATTTTGTCACATTATATAATATAAAATGCTTCAATTAAACTCTACTTACTGTCGGTTAATGCTCTTGGTACACTCACACTGTGTCGTTCTTATGAGAAACACCCAGTGTCTAACCAATTTACCACTAACACTGAATTACTAAAAAATAAAATACAAATTCATATTTGTAAAAAAAAATAATTTAATAATTTATATTATGAAATATTAAACATATAAATTAGTATATACAATGTACAAGTTATTTAATTAAAATAGCTCTCCGATAAGTGATAATCAGTTATTCATTCCCATATACTGTTTAAACGATAAGAAACAGCGATATTCGCAGCTTGCCCCTCAAGAGAGTCGTCGTCGCTGGATAAAAATATAGAAACAATTCGATGGTCCTTCAGTTCGAAAGTTTCCTCTTCTGAATCGTTTTCTCTCGTTCCAAAAAACAGCGCCCTCCCATCGCTCATGTGGAAAGTACAAGAGTCAATCGCGCCAGTTCCAGTAACTTGCAGCTTGGTAATATAAGCTTCCATAAAATCTACTCGCTCTATTAGTTCAGTCTTGGTTCCCATAAAATAGCTAGAATGGTCAGCGAAAACAAGGTTCATGCCACCGATTTTTGATAAGTCTGGAAATGAACGATTTACCCATAAATGCACTTCAATGGAAGTCAGGTAATTATAAATAAATCCCAGATAATATGGGGTTAATGGCGGGTACATTTCCTTGACAGTAGCTTCTCTGATAAGGTTTGGAGTCTGCCTGCCAAAGAAATTGGAATAAGAAATCACATCGTAAAAAACATTTCCGCCTGTATATGGACTTCGTACCATGCTATCCCATGTCCTCGTATATTCGGTGCCGTGGATATTAATGTAACTGCGAACGTTCATCATGGAGTTGTACAAATTTTCTTGAAATGAGTTGCCATAAACATCATCTAAACAGTTATCTAATAAACTAGTTATGTATTTGGTTGCTTCCTTAGTTGCCTTAAGATAATTTTCGATTTGGGATATATCATTAGGAGAAAATCCAATATCTGAAGAAGTTATAATGCCTAACGTGTAAAAGGTTGTCTTAAACAGAGTAAAATTAGAAAATAAAGGTAGTAGAAGCATGTTGGATGTGTTGCACTTAATATGACAATTTTGTTTGATTACTCTTTTCTCAAATTCGCGCAAGTCTTCTGTAATTTCCATATAAATATCAAAAATAGGCAGTCCTTTATCAAAAACTATTGAAAGAGTATGTAATTTCTGTTGAATATTTTTCATAAGTTCCTTAACGGTGACAGATATGGTTTGAAGTACTTCGTTCTTCAGTAGCGGCTGTAATTTTAACAAAATTTGCTCCCATACATTCAATTTATTCGACGGCCAAAACACATCATACAATCCTTGGTATTTTTTACTGACGTATGGAATATATCTAACGCCTATAGAATACGTTTCCCTGTAATCTCTGTCAATCTTACTTGGTACATTTAGTTCTAACCCTCGAAAGTTACAATCGGCATGTACACAATAGACCACTGCTCGTAGGTCAGTTTTATTAGAAATTTTTAATCCAGACACTCTAAACATACTTCCCACATTGTCAAATATTACTGTTTGCCCCGGCTTAATAGTAATTTCGTCGATAATTTTTTGCCATTTACTGCACGTTCCTTGCAGTAATTCAACGTATACCTCAGCACGTCCAATATTGTAAACCTTGTAATTATCGTGCGTCAAGGGGGTATGTTTCACATCCAATTCCAATGGAATGACATAGTCTTTAGGTTCTACAGCAAATATGGAAGCATTATTTCCATCGGTTTGTTTTTCATCCATCTTTGAAGGACGGTAGGTGGAACTAAAAAAATAAAATTTTAGGCTGTTTTATTATCATAGAAATTTTCTGTATTTTGTAAATTTTGTAAATAGTATTGTTGAAGTCTAGTATTCCAAAAATAGTACAAACTGTATTTTTAAATATTTTTAGCAAATGTTATAGATGATGTAAGGTGCAGGGTCGTTTATAAACATTTTTCTATTGCGATTTGCTTCTTTACTATTAAGGTATTCAGTGGAGTAAAATAAGATTTTGACTTCGGAAAAATTAGCAGATCGGGTAACTTTTACTTAGTGACCACTTTCTAAGGAAGATCGTAAGTAAGTACTTATTTTGAACACAATCGTTGGTTTTTACACTGCCCTAGGTTAAATTATCATTAAGTGTTGATGACCGGTGATTCGGTACGGTCCAAGAAATTCCAAATCCTAATCCTCTTAATTGTATCAATAAAATAAATGTATTCTAATATATTAATAGGGTTATAAATTGTACTTGGATAAACTCGGACCCTTCAATTATCCCTCAATTTAAAAATGTAATTATGTTTTGGATTCAGGATTTTCTTGGACTAATTTCTTTACTGCTTAATTATTTAGGTAAATAAAAATGCATATAGTTTATAAATAAAAATAAATGTTACGACGTAACAGACGTAACAATAGAATGTTCTTCAAAATTAATTAACGATCTTCCATTTTTTTAATTTTTAAGATAAAAATCTAAAACTTTCGGAGATCACTTTTGAAATAGCATTTAAAATAGTGAGTGATATGAAAAAAATATCAAATTTTTAATTCGAAAAATACAACGCTCGAAATATTTAATAATTTTAAAAAAGGTAAATTTGATTTTTTAGGTCACGTTTCAAAGTCTAATAACTTTTGTTCAAAATATGATATTGCAACTTTACAGGAGCTTTATTGAAGCTTGTGAACTGTACTTTAAGATTGTCCATTTTGTTTTATTTAAAACGTTGAATTATAATAAAATTTAAACCAAAACAAAATTTTTTTGTTATAAAACCATGAAATTTGTTTTTAAATAAACGTTAATAAACTTAAAAAAAATTTTTTCTTGTTTAACCAATATATTTTCAAACTATGATCTTAAAAAAAGTATAATCAACGAAAAAGAAAATTTTTGATTACTATAATATTGTATAAAACACGAAAAAATACGGTTTTTCAATAAATTGTCGCGAGATTCAGTTTTACCTATATTTTTTCGCGATGAAATTATGTAGTAGAAGTTTATCTGGTAATGTAATTCATTCTTGTGATTCGAGAATTATATTGTTGAATATTAGAAAGGGATAGAGAGACCATAGCATGGTATATAGAATGCTCTAATTGTTCCGGAACTTATTGTCTTAATTACCAAGCACTTTTCGAAGAAGAACGAGAATCAGACCAATTGCCAGAACTTACAATGATTCAAGAGAATGAAAATTGAATATTGTTATTTTTTTATATTTCTATTTTTAATATGCAAATACTTTTTCATATTTAATAAATTTGTTAATTAAGAATCCCATGTATTGACTTTTTGCAGAACCCTAAACATCATACCCAAATTTCTTTAAAATTTAAAGAGTTGATTTCATTTTATATTTGTTCAATGATCTGAAAAATCCTAGAAATATCAATTTGAGTAAAATTGCTTTGAAAATGTAATTTTTAAATAAATTGTTTAAAAAAGTCGGCCATATTGGATCAGCAATTTTGAATTTTCATTTTCTGATATAATATTCTCGTTCAGAGACCTCAGAAACCCCTATAATGTCAATTTAAGCAAATTTACTTTGAAATTTGTAATTTTTAAATACATTTTTTTTAAAAGTCGGCCATATTAGATCAGCCATTTTGATTTTTTATTTTCTGATGTAATATTCTTGTTCAGCGACTTCGAAAACCCCTATAAAATCAATTTGATTAAAATTGCTTTGAAAATTGTAATTTTTTAATAAATTGTTTAAAAAAGTCGGCCATATTGGATCAGTCATTTTGAATTTTTATTTTTTAACATTATATTCTTATTCAGTCACCTATAAAACCCATATAGTCTATATAGTATCAAAATTGATTTGAAATTTTTTGATTTATTTAAAATAATCTGAAAAACCATTTTTTATTGTTTAAACAATTAAATAATAATTAGCGTACAAATATAAGTTTATAACTTTTTTCTGTAAGTCATTTCAAGGCGATTGCAAAAGGTTTTATGAAAATCCAAGGCTTTGTTAATTATTCCGAAATAATGCACATTTTTTACTCCACTAATTAAAATGGAACAAAATATTCAAGAAAAATAATTCAAAGAAGAGAACATAGAAACATTTCATATCCTGGTTCAGTCATTTATTTGTTCAACTTCTCGTTTGACTGAAAATTAATTTCATCGGTATTTATTATTGATTAACTTTCTATATTTTAGTTTCACTGATTAGAATTTTTAATATTTTTTATATAATCTTTGCCAAATTATGAAACTGCCTGTCACAAACATGAAAATTTTATTTTGTTTATTATTTAGCTTATAAAATATCAAAAATGTGACATACTATACAGAGCAGAGGCATATAGAGAAACCCAAAATATGGTAATTTAATGCAAATTATCTTTATACTAAGCTGCACTCCTGAGTAGTTATAGGCCTTGATAGTAGGGTTTCAAATTAAAAAAAAATCAATATCTCAGTTATAAACTTCTGCAAAAATTTAAGGGAGCAAAAAAATTTTTCGAATTTTTATTGATTTTTCAGAATGCTGTATCTCAGTTAAAAATGATCGTATCAAGGTTTTAAAAAAGCATTTTAAAGCGTCGAATGTCTAGTTTCCAAATTTCTTAGCTCAAAATTTTTAGGAGCGACAGTCATCGCGAAATTCTAAGAAATAAGATTAAAAAATTTTTTTTTCAATTTTTTGCGTTTTTTTTCTCGGTCCACGTACTTGGAAAAAATTTTTACAAAAAAATCATGATATGGACTTGATAGCCACCAATATTGGGGGTATCAACTTTTAATCAATTTCGTTAATTCAAAATAAAGGAAATTACGGTACGGAAAGAGTACATCGCTTCAAAAATGCCTCAATATTTTTACCTTGAGTTGTTAAAAAATAAAGAAGAGGAAATTTTCAAAAAATTTTCAAAAATTAAAAAAAGTTTTTTTTTTCAAAAATCGGAATTTTTTTTTTCAAATTCAATGAGCAAAAAATGCCCAATTGTGAAAGAATTGAAAAAAATCGAATTTTTCATTTTTACGAACGTTACAGGGTCCTCAGAAATGTAAATTTTGCTCCTTTAAATTTTTCTGAAATTTTGATTAAGCGGTCCGGAAAAACCGTTCGATAGATCGATCTGCCAATTTACGGAGCTTTTGGGGGTACATCGAGGACTAAAAATTCGTACAAGCATTAGACTCTCCATCGATATTAGCAAAGATGCGGTCGACTTAGCAAAACAAGTTAAAAAGTCACTTTTTTCACTTTTTTCAAGTTAATGTCGAGGATGAAAGAAAATTTTTTTTCATCCCAGAACGCTACATAGCCTTGTAGGAAATTTATTCGAGATTACGAAACTGCCCGTCAATTTTCTGTCTGATCATAAGTTGATGAGATATCGATGGTTAAACCAAAAGGATGCTTTTGTATTCGTAGTCGAATATCTCCAGGTCAAATTAACGTAGAGAAAAATTAAAAAAAAGAAATTAAAGCTGAATGAACAGGTTATCAAGTCCATATCATGATTTTTGTGTAAAAAATTTTTCCAAGCCCGTGGACCGAGAAAAAAACGCAAAAAATTGAAAAACAAAATTTTTAGGATTATTTATTAGAATTTCGGGATGACTGTCGCTCCTAAAAATGTTGAGCTAAGAAAGATTTCTTTCCAGATGGAAACTATACATTCGGTGCTTTAAAATGCTTTTTTTAAAACCTTCATACGATCATTTTTAACTGAGATACAGCATTCTGAAAAATCACTAAAAATTCGAAAAAATTTTTTGCTCCCTTAATTTTTTGCAGAAGTTTACTTGAATTCAGAAAAACCAAATTTGGTACACGGTGTGAGTGTACCAAGAGCATCAGCATCAATTGACAGTAAGTAGAATTCAATTTAAGTTAGATGTTAGTTTTCAAAAATCTTTGTCGTTTTCAACAAAAACACGAATAACTATATGTGTTGTAGCTGTATTATTTAAAATCATCGAAAATTCAAAAGTTGCCTATAAATTTAAACATCAAACTTGACGATCAAGAAAAACAGTTGGAATAAGAATAATTTAATAAAAAACAACTTAAACAAGAGAAATAACATACAACTTGCACTGATAAGTGATAGAAATTGATCAAAATGATCACCGTTTTCTTTCAGGCATAAATTTATTCTTCATCGAAAATTGAAGTCCATCCAATAACTGCTGATTATTCCTAATGAATGTATGTGCATTTCATAGCCATCTTTTGAATTTTCGATGATTTTAAATAATACAGCTATTAGTTATTCGTGTTTTTCTGAAAACGAGAAAGTTCTTTGAAAACTAACAATAGTAAGAAAAGTTTTAGAATTAAATTCCCCATAAAATAAAGCAATAATTTTTTAAGTTCGCCAACGGGTTAAAAAATTCCGACACATTTTAATGGTGTATCAACCCTTTAAAATGATTAAATTGAACTCTACTTACTATTATTACTACTACTAAAAGTACCTACCATCTGATGCAACAACAATACACGAGTTTAGTCAAAAATAAGTACTGGCGAAATAAATTTCCGAATAAACCGGAAGTAATAAAAAAATATAGTTTATCAAAAAAAAATCGTTTTTCAGTTACCTATATTTTTAAATTGATATTCAGTTGTTTTTCTTAATACTCGTACATATTATCTTATTCGCAGGTCTCTATACGTATGTCTACATATTGTCTCATTTATTACTCGTAATTCGCCTCTAAATCTGTAAATCTTGTTACCTACGTGTTGTTTCTTGTGTATTTTTTAACAGATAGTGAATGTTTAAATTGGACTTAAACAGCACTTGAAAAATCAACGGTGCGAAAAATACTTACCTTAATGAAAAATTAATTAAAAAGTTTATTTCGTACAAAAGCAGAAGAATGAACTTTCACTATAAAAAATAATGTTGTGCACATTTTCCCTATAATATCCATTCTCTGTACCTAAATGCGGCCACTAGTTATGTTCAACAATTTATCACAGAGTAATCCTCTATTACACGCTAGTGGAGGGCAGGTAGTGGATTAAATAAATTAAATTAATATTTGCTTGTATTGAGCTGCAAAAGTATATGATAATATCTACAGGAATTTATAGTCTTAATTAAGGACAAAATCAACCATTAAAAGAGGATTAGGACCCTTACCTCTCTTTATACCTCCTTTATACCTAATTATTGAAATATTTTGTATTAAATTGAATAGAACAATCTAAAAGATTAATGAAATAAAATACACTGAATTAAATACTAAACACCATTTTTCATATCTTAACAATAAATTAGTATACGAGTATTCTAATAAAGAGATATAAACAAATATTCACTTACCTCTGTTCGAGTTCCAACTAAACTTTTTTTTTAATACATAATACAGCGTTCTTCCTTTCGCACAGACATGATACTTTTACCCTTACCAAAATATGTTTATGGTTTTGTAGCCACAGGTGTTTCAAAAACATATTTGTTTAGGTAGTTTATTAGTGCTGGTCAGTAGTGATGGTTAATCAACCAAAAATGCCATTATGAAAACAGGAAACAGGTGGTGTAAGACAATGGATTTTTTAATTGCTATAAATTCGTGTCACTGTAGATTTATCAGAATATAAATTCCTTAAATTCCTAAATTTTTTTATAAAATTAATTTTAAAACCAAATTTAAATGCTTCATAACAAACTTTGTGTACTTCCATATTTTTTACATATCTTTAATATAAACGAACGAGTTATTTTCTTCTACTCCGGTCACTAATTAAACGGTACGACACGGCAATATTAGCTGCTTGGCCACCTGTACTGAAGTTATCACTACACAAAAATAGTGACATAATCAGATGCCCCTTCAGTTCAAAAGTTTTCTCTTCGGAATCTTTCTCAATAGTTCCAAATGTTAGCTGCCTCCCATCGCTAAAGAAGAATTTACAAGAATCAACAGCACCGTTTCCAGTTACTTGTAACTTGGTGATGTAAGCTTCTTTAAAATCTACTTTCTCAGTTTCTCCGGTTACAGTTCCCATTGTATAAGTGGTGTTATTTCCGAAATCGAGTTTCATCCCTCCTATTTTTGGAGAGGAGGAAGAAGCTCTGCGCCAAATATACATATCTATCGAGACCAAGTACACTCGAGTAAAACCTATAAAGAAGGGGGTCAGTGGTGGAAACATTTTCAGGGACGTAGCCTCTTTGATCAGATTGGGAGTCTGTCTACCGAAGAAGTTAGAATAAGAAATAACATCATTATAGATCTTGTCACCGATGAATGGATTACCGTATATGCTGTCCCATATCCTGACCAATTCCATCCCATGGACGCCTATGTAACTTCTAACGTTCATCATAGAATCGTATAATTCCTCAGGGTAAGCAGTGTCGTAAGCATTTTCAAGCCGCTCTACAAGCATGTTGTTAATATATTCCGAAGCACCACTTTCCCCTCTAACTGTGTTGTCAAAATAATGTTTTATCCGAGTGAGGTCGTTAGCAGACAAATCCATTTCCTCTTTCGCGGTTATTCCTATCGCGTAAATCATTGTTTTCATCAAAACAGTCTGTGCAAATAAAGGAAGGAGAAACATGTTATTTTTCTTATCGCTGACTATTAGATCCTTCTCAAACCCTGATAGTTCGTGTATGACGTCATTATAAAGCTTAACAGGTCGTCTTCCCTTCTCCAAATCTTCTGAAAGGGCTCTCACTTTATCTCCTATAGTTTTGACGCGGACACTAAGAATCGTGGATATTTTTTCCAGTGTTTCTTTTCCAACTAGTGGCTGAAGCTTCTGCAAAATTTTCTCCCAAATGTTTAATTCATTGGCAGGCCAAAAAGCCTCTAGCAAACCTTTGAATTTTTCTTGGATGTACGGTATATGTTTAACACCTACCGATAAAACAGACCACAATTTCACATTATGATCTTTATCAAGGAGTCCTGGTTCCTTGTTATGAGCCATTTTTAAGTCTTCACATAATCTTGAACACTGTACAATGCCTCTGATACTATTTCCGTTGTAAATTCTTATCCTGAGGGCGTTATGTTCTCCGTTGCGAAAAATCTTGCATTCTCCTGATTTTACTAGGCCTTCATAAATAATTTTAGATATATATTCTAATTCGGCGTATACTTCCATACGACCTATATTGTAAACTTTATAGCTTCCAGCAGTTGCTCCACAGTCATATTTTAAGACACTAACTTCACTTTTGGGATCAACGGTAAATATATTTGCATTGCATCCATGTTGCGAATCAAAGGACATCTTGATTGTACCGAATGAATATACTTTGGATTACCTAAAAAGTAATAAATGCTTGGTAGACACAAATCAGACATTAAAGCACAATTACCTTAGTAAAATCAAATCTTATAACAGAATGGCACTTAATATATATGGTTCGGTATTTCACTACCTTTTTTCTATTTCTTTTAAGCAGCAAATAAGATTTCTTTAATTTGTTTATATAAATTAATTGACAAATGTTAAATAAAATTACATGAGTAAATGTTTGAAGACATTACGCACCTTACAGGCATTCTCTCTAATAAATATGTTTCCTTATCTGCCAACTTCCTTTGCAGGAAATAACAATATATTATTTCCGATTACACTTCAGATTTTTGAACGATACATGAAATTTATATAAAAATATATGCCTTATTTTTTAAGCTTCTTACATGGAGTCTATATTTTGTTTTTTTAAGCGTTTAAGTCACGGCAATTTTGAAATGCCCATGTTTTTATGTTTATTAATTATTAGTGAATTATTATTAATGAGTTAATTCTGGAAAAGGAATTTTATTAAAAAACTTAATGGAATGCTTTACTATGTATATATTATAATTATTTTACATTTTTTTATTAGAATTACTTTCTCATAGACTTGCAACATATTTATAATCTGAAGTGTCTAACTGCCATTCGGCTGGTAAGACACGGCTATATTTTGCGCTTGGCCTCCAAGAATGGAATCATCACTAGTCAAAATCATTGAAACGATGTGGTGACCTTCCAACTCAAACGTAGTAGAACTTCTGGAATCATCAGTTCCCACCGTGATTTGTCTTCCATCCGAAAAATAGAAAGTCAATCGATCTAAAGCTCCGTACCCCGTCACCATCAATCTATTCAAAATTGCCCCTTTAAAATCAACCTTACTGACCTCCCAAGAGGTAGTGCCCATAGTGTAAGTGTCGTTGTTTTCAAAAACCAACTTTAATCCTCCAATTTTTGGAACCCCAGCTCCGTTATTAATACGCCAGATGTAAACTTCAACAGATACCAATTTATTCCTCCTCCCGTTTACCAGGTGAGGAGTTAAGGGCTGGGATAAGACCTCGGGGATGGCTTCTTTGTTCAGTTGCGTACTCAAACTACCATACAGACCAGAGTAAGATATGGCGTCGTTGTATACATTGTCATCGGTTTGCTTCTCAACAAGACTGTTCCACACAGGAATGTATTCCAAGCCGTTAACTGCTATGAAGGTGCGCACAGACATCATTGTGTCATAGACTACTGATGGTTTCGTCGTCGCATAAGCGTTGTCCACTCTTTCCTTATACATGGCATTGATGTAGTTGTTAACACCTTGTTCGCCTTTAATAAGTCTTGTTGTAAATCTTCTCAAATCCGCCAAGTTATCCTGAGTGAGTCCTATTTTTTGTGCATTTCTTAAACCATAAACGTAGTATTTTACCTTCATCAACACTAGAGTAGAATACAAGGGCAATAGGTAGACGTTTACTTGCTTATAATCGGATTGTCCAGAGTCGAAAGAGAACTTATTCTCAAAACCTACCAAATCCTCGGCGATGTTCATGTAGTGAGAAGCAGAATTCTGTCCTTCGTCCAATTTTGACATAAGAACGCTAATCCTCTCCTTGTAATGCCTAATGTCGCCGCTGAGAATCCCATTGACAGTTTGCAGTATTCTGGAATCTATTAAAGTTGACACTTTGTCTTTGATTTGCTGCCATATACTGGGTTTATTTTCTGGCCAGAAGGTTTTCACCAAATCAGACAAGGTGCTTCCTACTGTTGGAGTGAACTTCACGCCAGCAGCAACCAAACTCTTCAGGATATCACTGTAATTCATGTCGATGCCACCGTCATCATGACTTGATACGGCCGGATATGATTGATCGATCGAGATTATCGCTCGGACATTTGTCTTATTGTGTATTTTCAATCCCAACACGTAATATGATCTTCCCTGATTTGGCAACACCTTTGTTTCACCGGGTAGGACATCCGCATGGGATACAGAACCAAGCCATGATATTTTCGTTCCGTAGATAGTTTCTGCATATACAGGAGTTCTGCCGATATTGTATACTTCGAAGGGAATTTGACTACGAGGGATTATTCCTGCGTCTATTTGTAGAACGACGCTTGCACTGTTTGGGCTGATGCCGAAAGTTCGCATTTTTTTTAAGTAATGCAGTCCTACAACAATACAATGTTTTAAAATCTTTTTTATAATTTTTATTCAAAAATGCTATTAAAAAATGGATTTCAGACACCAGAAAATATCAACTGAATGGACTAGTGCGCTTATAGTTTTATATACCTATATACAGTCTAATCTAAACCATATTCCTTATCGTCTATTGCAAAATAAAAATATTTGTAGCAAATACAAGTAAATATGTTGTTATGATTTGTTCTTATGATAACATAAAACATAGAGAAGAAAGGACGAAAATGTAAATTTTTTAAATAAATTTGAATATTTACTTAATATAGAGAAAACTGGGATATGGAACACAGAAAAGATTAAAATGAAGAATAGATTTAAGTGTTGAATAAGTTTGTAGTAATGTAAGACAAAACCGTTCAATAAAACGATTAAAAAAACTGTTAAAATTATGATTAAAAATTAATTTATACCTTAAATGGTTGATAAAATGCACTCATGCAATATAAAAAAGTTAAAAACCATTGTAAAGAACGTTAGATTTCAACTAGTACACTAGGGTTTAAGCTAATTTAAAAAAATTCAAATTTTGAAAGTTGATCGACAGATGGAAAAGGACATAAACGAGAAACACGCAATAAATCTTGTATAAAACTAAAATATAGCATACCCACAATAAGAATTTATTTGTGGAATTAAACATTGTTATAGTTTCATATAGCGTGTTTCAAAATGACAGATCTATGTATCGTCAGAACTTGTAAAATTGTAAATATAAAAGTGTTGTAGAACTACAAAATAGTTTGTATAGTTGTGTATAAGACCTTTTTAACATCATATACTGTATTGAGATTCCAACTCAAGTTCAAATTTGTGTGTAATCTTTAAAAGTTTTCTATGAATCCATAAACCTAAAACATTTCAATAGTTAAATTTCATAAACAGGGAAAATACTGTTAGAAAAGTGGAAAAGGGTTAATGTTAAAGACAGTGAATAGACCTACAGTCAGAAAATTAAGCTATATAACCTAATTTAGCCAAAATTTCCAAAATTGAGTAAAATTTGTTGAGGGTTTGAAAGTTAACGTAAAAAGAAGTTTCGGGTATCAAAAAATTCAGAAAAATTAATACAATCCAAATATGTAAAGATCATGCAGATTACAACACGTGTACAAAAAGTCAGTATTTTAAAAATAAAAATTCTCAAAAGTTCAGGTTGACATATCCATGGTAACATTTCATTTGTTTCACCTCGAGTAATGTCAAATGCCATAAACAATCAATGTTCATACATGGCTGAAATCCATAACAATTTTAATCATAACGAGTAGTGATCCTAAAGTTCGACACTAAAATTTGAACAAGTAAAAATTATTATGAAATAAATCAAAATTGGTAAAATCATAAAGTGTAGTGAAGTGGTGGCAGCAGAGTGTTTAGAAGTCAAGTACAAGTTTCTAGACAATGATGTAGCGATCCATGTGACCAGCAGGACACATCATCTATCCAGAGTTCGAGCATGAAACCAGCTTTACAACAAAGAGAATTATTGTAAGTTGTCTAACGATCTATTTGGCCAAATATTATCGCACAAATTTCGAAATAACCGCATATGCTACTACGAAAAATAAGAATTTCATCAAAATCTCAAATCATGACATAGTTATTATTGATAAAAAGGGGGAATTTAATGTAATTATATTATTTAGATTAAATATGAAAAGTCAATTATAAAGTTGCATTTGAAATTTGTAATATATCCATATTTGTGAAACTTTAAAGCTATTTTTTATTTTATAATACCTTTAAGTGAAATCTGACAAGATAGAATTATAGGAAACCACATCCTGTAGTTGAGTTAGCTCTACACAGTAAAAATAAGTACAACATATTGAATATTGAATTTAAATACAAAAATTTATTATATGGCGCCCAACTAATAATATTCCAACTAATAATATCCAAATAATAATAACACCTGCCTGAAATGAATAATTTATAAAAGAGAAACTTATTCAATTGGTAACTTCCACTGTTATCCTTAATCGAGACACACGAAAAAAAGGCCTTTTGTGCAAAAAATTGACACAACACATGTATGAAAAATACTTTCCTATAATTCCTAAAAACAAATGCCACTTATATTGCAGCAAAATTTAATAACATTGTTCTACTGAATGATACAATATACAGGGTGATTCAGAACTTATCCAAAAAAAAAATCTGGATATTCAGGGGAAAAAATCAAAAAGGGCAGTTCAAAAATAATTTAAAAATACACTTCTGCACGGCACTGGAAACTGGTCCACTGTAAAACCTGACCTCGCACAATCCCACCGTTACGGCGACAGTGATAAAAACGGACAAAAACTTAAAAGAATTTTGCAAGGAAACGAATAAATATAATTTTATAGCACCTATTTTATATCAGCAAATTCAACTGATTTTGCCGCTATTGTTATTATTAATTAATGAAATTAATTTGTGGTTTTAATTAATAAAATAATTTGACATACCTGATGTTACAACAACTGTTCAAAATTTTGTCCACCGACGTGTAAACACATTTGATCCTGTCTTACTAAGTTTCTACAAACTAACACAAATGTCCTGCTTCACCATAACACAAATGTTTCACCACAATACAAATGTTGTGTTGCTTCACCATGAATTAAAACGATATCCATCAACTCCGAGTTGCTATACACAAGCCATTTTTGATACTAACTGAGTACTAAAAAGCTATTGTAAACACTACCGCAACGACGACTGTATTGGGAGTCGCTGACGCCACGTGGCTCTCACGCGTATTGCGAATGACGCTAGAGACTACAGTTGTCCAGCGATGTAGTGTTTGAAAGTAGTCCAACTTCAATAATTCTTTTCTCGGAAATTATAAGGATTTTACAAAAATTTTTTTACGTTATTGACTCCATTTCTCATGCCGCATCTATTCCCAATTTTTTTTGGATAAGTTGTGAATCACCCTGTATACAGTAGCGATTGGAAAAATTTTCATGGTAATAAAATTTAATTTACAATGTTATCTAGATAATTAAATAGATTAGACTTTATGAAATACATTCTTCCTACAAGTTTGTAAAGTGTTTACAGCGGTGGTCATGGTTACCGTCGCATAGCAGTGAAAGACGAAGTAGGAGTGGTGCATATTTACTATACAATTTGAACTCTGTTTAGTCCGCTCGTAATCAAATAATAGCTATTCACTGTTTTTTTTTTCTCATTAAACGTAATTTGTTTACGTATGATGTAAAATTTTGTTACCTACATATTGTTTTTGTGTGTTTTCTAAAAGATTGTGAAAGATCAAGTTACACTGTAAGCATAGTCTAACAGCACCTGCAATGCTATCTATTGAAAAATCGGTGATGCAAGAAATACCAAACATTAATAAAATACAGTGGCGGCTCGTCGGGTGACGCAAGTGACGCACCGCTTCACCTAAAATTTCCGTTTGTTTGTGCAATTTAAAATTATTTTAAATTTTATATAAATCTTATAATTTAGGTACAATTCTATATTGAAAATGGATTGTTTGTTTGTCTTATACGCAGAAATAAACAGAATAATTCCGCGGTGAACGCCTTCTAAAAAATCATTGGCTTCGTTGAGCGCGAACATCAACCTCGTACCATACAACGTATACTAAAGGCCGGTTTACACGCTACGAGAAATCGTAACGATGTGAGTGACAAATTTATTGCTGCAATAAATCGAAAAAGTGGAGTACTGTTTCCACGTTAACGATAAATCGGAACAATTTCCTTCCATATTTCGTTGTCAACAGCTATCGACCTCAAAAAAACTTTTGCCATGGAGGAAGTAGTGTTGTTGTCGTTGTACATCGGTTGTTTAGCGAGAAAAGTGAAAAAAGCGCGAAAACAGATAACAAAGTGGAGCCGCGAGTGGTTATTAAAGAGAAGAGAGTTATCTCATGTGAAGTTAATGAAAGAATTGAGAAATGAACCGAATGACTAGCGAAATTATTTGAGAATGGACGATGAGACTTATGTTGAGTTGTTATGGTCAGCCAAAAACAATCACTGGACTATATCTGATGAATTGCAAATGCAAACTGAGTGAAATCGTAGCGAGAAATACCGGCTACTTGTTTACACGTTCAAACATGTCGTTACGATTCGCAGAAATTGATCCCGGCCGGCATCAACCATCCAACCCAACTCCCATTCCAATAAATCGCTACAATTTCCTATTTACACCCAACGATAAATCGTAACGATTCGATTGTTACGATAAATTGCTAGCATTTATTGTAGCGTGTAAACCTGCCTTAANTTGTTTGTCTTATACGCAGAAATAAACAGAATAATTCCGCGGTGAACGCCTTCTAAAAAATCATTGGCTTCGTTGAGCGCGAACATCAACCTCGTACCATACAACGTATACTACGCAAGTGACTCATATTGAAATTGGTATGTATCTGCTTCTCTCCGTAGCTCTCCGTACGGCGGTTGTCATGGCAACGAGGCAGCCAACGCATGTGTAAACTACGGCCTGGGAGAACGAGTGATGCAAAAGTTGAAGCAGCATTCTCATCGTCATCGCGCATCGCCTGTCTATCGTGTGTAAACAGTTTATAGAGTTTATACGATACGTTGCCCAGTGCACGGTTATAATGGTTCTTTATTAATATTTGTTTTATATCAATATTTTGTAGAAATGTTTCCTATACACGATCCTGTATTATTTTATTGGAAATACCATTTTCCAGACCGAAAATTGAGGACAAAAAAGATTTTTTAAATTGCGAAAGACCTGTACCTTCTCTCGATGTGAAAAAAAGGGGGAGGTCAAAAGACAAAGTGTATGTTGGGAAGTTTCGGATTGAATGGTATTCGGAGTGTAAGTGATTGTGTGGATTGTGGGTGTGTTTATTTAAAAAAACTTTTTTGTATGCTGTGTTTAATTGCGAGTGTAAAATCGGGCGTGTGAAATAAGGAGGGATTTAACAATCCCGCTTAACATCT